ATATATAATGTGAAATAAGTTGACTATCAGCTGAAGATTGGAGATCTTGTTAGTTAAAGCAAGCTTTGGCAGTGCTAACACTGGTTATAATAGCATTTAATCTTGATGTTGATCACCATGACTTTTATTTATTTTGTATCCCTCTCCTAATAGCACCTGATCATGACCATGAGTAGACTTTGGGCATTTGAAGGGTAAACAGCCTAGCTCTGGACGCTAAGGTCTATGACATGTGAATTTGGGAAGCATATAATTTCATTTTATAGGCTCCAAAGCTGGTGTGTAGGAGTGAGTCACTTACTAGTGAGTGAGCCTAGCTAGCTGACTGACTGGCCGTCACCCAAATTTAGAAGTGGCTTTGTTGTTCTCTACTTGTCCTTGAGTATGTAGTGACTCTCCTACAGAAAATGATCTGGAAAAGAATGCTGTGGATGGACCAAACCAAAAACCCACTGCTGTTGAGTTGATTCCGATTCATAGCGACCCGATAACGTTTTCAAGGCTGTAAATCTCTACAGAAGCAGACGGCCACATATCTTTCTCCTGCAGAGCTGCTGGTGGTTTTGAACTGCCAACCTTTTGGTTAGCAGTCCATCACTTTAACCTCTGCGCCACCAGGGCTCCTTTGGAGGAGAAAAGAAAATAGAGTCCAAGAAAATGAATGACTTTAGTGAGAACACAGAGTTTTAGCATATATTAAGGAGTGAAATACCCAATTTAGTGGTGGTTCAGATCTACAATGTGAAAGAGTCCCCTACACGCTCTATACAGAAATAAGAAAATAAGAAAAGGCAATTAGCAAAAGTGTTCGAGTGTTCCTGCCAGTGTGAAAACTAACTTTATTGTGGTATTTATATAATCATTTATGTTCAGAAAGGGGTCGCTGAAACTGTGCAGGTATGCTCTCCTGTACTGTATGGTGACAATTATATGCTATGATTGAGTTTGCAAATTTGGGATTTTCAAGGCCTCAGGAGAGATTCTTAAAGAATGTCAAGGTCAAAGATTAGACTGGACTATGGAACATAAAATGATACTTGTGAAAAGTGTTCTTCTTAGCTCAAGTAGATACATGAGACTAAATGGGCAGCTTGTGTCCGGAGGCAAGATAAGAAGGCAAAAAGGGACAAGAGTTGGTTGAATGGACACAGGAAATCAGGGGTGGAAAGGGGGAGCATGCTGTCACAGTATAGGGAGAGCAACCAGGGTCACATAACAATGTATGTATAAATTTTTGTATGAAAGACTAACTTGAATTGTAAACCTTCACTTAAACTACAACAATAAAATAATAAATAAATAAATACCTCCTACTGTTAAAAAAAAAAAAAAAGAATGTCAAGGAACTGCTGTCCCCTGCTGTCCCTCATATTTGTTTGGTTGGTGCTTGACAGTTTCCAAAGTGCTTTCGTGTTCTCCAGCAATGTCGCTGGCAGCAGTTAGAGAAGCAGTGGGAGAGATAAGGGGTCAGCCAAACTTGGCTCCTTGTCATGGCTCTACCACTTAGTCCGTGTTGCCTCAGGTAAATTCCTTATCGTCCCCAAGTCTCTGGGTCTCCATCTGTTCCATGGGGATACGAATAATACTCTGCTCTCTTCACAGTCCTGGTTAAAGACCAAAAGAGCCAATGTGGGAATGTGTTTGAAAAGCATGTTATTGTTGTTAGTTGCCATCGAGTCGATTCCAACTCAATAAGTGGTTACTGTGGGGCTAACTCATTCATTCATTTCACAAACATTATTGAAGTCTTTTTGTGCTGAAGAGACATAGAGGCGACTAAGACGTGGTTCTTACAGGTCCCTGCGATTGAGTTCCAGCTGTACCAAGCATAGCAGAGCTGCCGAGAAAACAGACAGACGCAACCCACTGGCCACAGCTGGTGAGCAGGCATCTTTCCTCAGTCACTACCTCCCTCCTAATTCTGGCCTGGCTCTTGTTTTCTGCAGTCAAAATGAACTTGACGGCAGTAGTGGAGCCAGCCAGCTCTCTTACGAAATTTCCACTGGGTCTCAACCGGCTCAGTTTCCCCCAAGTTCTGTCCCCACATTCTGGCCCAGACAGGGAAAAAACGTAATTACAGCCAGCTGCTTACAAAAGCGAGCAGAGGGATAAAAGAAGAAGAGGGGGAAAACATTCTTGCAAATAGATCAGAATGACCTGCTATTTAACCTAATTACCTGCAAAGCCACACCCAGCCATTAAGGATCCATATTCTGTAATAGAATTTCCTGCTATGGAAATACTCACCCACGCACAGGATGTTGAAGCAGAAGCCCTGGCTGACTGACTTATTCACCAGCTGGTCGGGCAAGCTGTCAAACCCCACGTGTCCAGCCAGGGGGACAGTTCGGCAACCTTCACCCTAATTTGAAAGGGGAGGGAGGGGAGAAAATGAAAATGTGCTTAAAAGGCGTCTGGGTCTCACTCTCCATCCTAGGAAGTAACACCCACCTAAGCCCGATGTGTCATCTCTTCCCTCAGCCACTCCCCACTCCAAAGCTTGGAAATCATGGATTCCTGGGTACAGGCAACCTCTAGGCTCAATAATGAACTTCATCATAGCTCCAGATAGCGCACACTACAGAGGGGGCTTATAAGGGCAGGAGGGTGAAGTCAGGAGATGAGGGGCACAAGTTGGGTGAGATCTTGACTCAGTCACTAACAAGCTGGGTAACATCTCTGAGACTCAGTTTCCTTCGGCATCTGTCATTGTTGTTGGGTGCCGTCAAGTCGATTCCAACCCCATGTGACAGAGTAGAACTGCCCCCATAGGGTTTTCTAGGCTGTAATCTTTATGGAAGCAGATGGCCAGGTCTTTCTCCCACAGAGCAGCTGAGTGGGTTCAAACTGCCAACCTGTTTGTTAGCAGCCAAGAGCTTAACCAGTGCGCCACCAGGGCTCCTTACGCCTGTCATATGGATAATAATATTACCTATCTTACACGTGCAAACATTAACGCGCTTGGGCTGCTAACTGAAAGGTTGGTGATTCGAGTCCACCCAGAAGCATGTGATAGAAAGTTCTGGCAATCTACTTACAAAAAAATCAGCCATTGAAAACTCTAGGAGGCACAGTTCTACTCTGACACACATGGAGTCACCATGAGTCAAAACTGACTCAATGGCAACTGGTTTGGTTTGGATCTTAGAGGTGATTGGGAGAATTAAATGTACTGATAGATACAATGGTTAGCTTAGCATAATGACCGATACACACGCAAATGTTCAGTAAATATTACAAAAAGACTTTAAAAAGTAATCAGTCCTCTCTTGAGGACATTTTGGGGATCTATAAAGGTGGTAGAGGGTAGAGATTAAGAGCATAGGCTCTGAAATCAGGCAGGCCTGAATTCGAGTCCCACCTCTACCACCTTCTGGCCCTATGGCCTCATGGAAATTACTTTACTTCTCAAAGTTTCCCCATCCATAAAATCAGCAACTAGCAGTTCCTGCCTCACAGAACTGATGTGAGGATTGTATAAGACAATGTTCCTCAGGTGTTCAGCACGGTGCCTTGCATGTAGTAAGCATTCAATCAACAGTTGCGGTTGTTATTAGTTGTCGTGGAGTCGACCCCTGACTCATGGTGACCCGCATGCCCAGTGGGATCAGACCTTTGTGATCCATAGGGTTTTCATTCGCTGATTTTTCAGAAGTAGATCACCAGACCTTTCTTCCTAAGTCCATCTTAGTCTGCAAGCTCCGCTGAAACCTGTTCAGCATCATAGCAACACACAAGCCTCCACTGACAGACGGGTGGTGGCTGCACTTGAGGCACGTTGGCTGAGAATCGAACAGCTGTTGTTAGGTGCCGTCAAGTCAGTTCCGACTCGTAGCAACCCTGTGTACAACAGAACGAAACACTGCCTGGTCCTTTGCCATGCTCAGGATCGTTGTTAGGCTTGAGCCCATCATTATTATTGCACTGTGAGGTGATCCTTCCACTCAGACCTCCGAACTGACACTTAATGACATGGAATACTTGTGGCTCCCTCTAGCTAAGAGAGCTGCTGCCATGCTTCCTCTGGTTCCCTTGATTCCATAGGGGTCAGCCAAGCCACTCCCAGCCCTGGAAAGCACAGGGCCTTTGCTTTGCCTGCAAGGTCCCAAAGCTTCTTTTTGTTAATGGCTTCACAAAACAGTGATCGTCTCAAATTGGGGCAGGCTTCCAAGGAGCTGGAGGGGAGGACAAAAGGGGCCTGCATGTACTCAAGACACTTGCCAACTGCCAACCTCCATGGGGCGAGGAAAGGAGAAGGGAAGCTGGAGACAACAGAGCTAGACATGAGGAGTGGACTATGAAATGAGTGAGGGTTTCTGTTGGGTGGGGCGGCACCAAGAATTCCGTAGTCATTGCCAAGAGCAATCCAAGAAGGGCATGGTTAGTGCCAGGAGGCCTAAGCCAATATCCTCAGGCTGAGCTTCCACTGGACTGGATCCGCTTTTCGACTATGTCCATAATAAGGGTACACTTTGACACTAAAGGGACTAGGGTGGGGTGGCGGGGAGCCTCTCAGCAGCTGACAGAACTCGTTCCCAGATAGCCTCTTCACCCAGCTTGGGATCCCACTCCCAATGGCGTCATCCAATCCTCCAAGAATGACAGGGCTGGTGTTGGCGACTGCCATCTGGCAAGTTCATTACCCTCACACATCTCCCGCCCACACTCCCAGTGCAGCATTCTTGACAGACGGCCGTATGCCATCCTTCAGTCAGGGCACCTGAAGACAGCTGAGTTTCATGAGTGGTCCACATCACTCAGGGCTTTGTTTTACACCTACCCCCTCTCCCTCTTTTCCCTTCTTCTTTTTATTAAAGCAAGCAAAGTAAGATGCAAGATTCTCACTGATGGTTCTTGGTCCTCACCATTGCAGAGGAGACGGGCACTTAAGAGCCAATATGCTTTCTCAGTGGAGCCTCCTACGGAAATTAGGATGGACCCAGGGTTGAGGCTTCCTGAGCCACATTTTATCGCCCCTGCTGTCTCTTCCTGTCTCCAAATTCAGCAACATGAAACTTCAAGTGCTCCAAAGCCTCTGACCCAAGTGCCAAAGGAGAGGAAAGGGAATTTTCAAACTGAAGACGGTGGAGGGCAGCGGGGAGCGCTCCACATCTTATTCTTACTTCAGTGTCAGAAACTTACCAAGCACCTCCCATGTGCCCACCATTCTCTCCTACCTAGTACAGTGCTGTTGTTGTTGTCAGCTGCCATCGAGTCAGCCTCTGACTCATGGTTACCCTATGCACAATGGGATCACACCACTGTGATCCCTGGGGTTTCCACTGGCTGATTTTGGGAAGTGATTGCCAGGCCTTCCTTCCTTCCTAGTCCATCTTAGTCTGGAAGCTCCGCTGAAACCTGTTTAGGATTGTAGACAGGTGGTAGCTGTGCATGAGGTGCATTGGTCAGGAATCAAACATGGGTTTCCCACATGGAAGGCGAGAATTCCATCACTGAACCACCATTGCCCTCATCACAGTGCTGTAAAGCGCCCTAAATAGCAGGCTTTATTCCCTAGGCAAGGGGGTTTAGGGGATTTTGAGTATTTTGAGAGGGGACGGCCAGGATAAGGTGGTGTTTTAGAAGGATCATTCCAGCTTCAGGATGCTTGATTTATTGGTGGAAAGAGAGACTAGGGGCAGAATGACATCCAGGCACTGTGACAATAAATGCTGGTTGAAGTGAAATGACCTGACTTGGGACAGGTAATGGAGGAACAAATTGGAGAGACCTCCTAAAGAAGGGATGGGACTCAGTGAGTGATTGGGTAGACGGGGTGAGGGTGCAATCAAAGCCGACTGCACCATGGATAGGAAGAAGGAAGCCAGGAAAGGGAGCTTATTTAGCGGGGAAGTTGAGGAGTTTGGTTTTAAATAAGCTTTTACTAAAAAGGAGTCCCTGGTTGGCACAAACGGCTAACTGTTACACTACTAACTGAAAGGCTGGTGCTTCAAACTCACCCAGAAGCACCTTGGAAGAAAGCCCTGGCCATCTACTTCCAAAAGGTCACAGCCATGAAAGCCCTATGGTGCACAGTTCTAGTCTGCAACGCATGGGGTTGCTGTGAGTTGGAATTCACTCAAAGGCAACTGGTTTGGTTTTTTGTTTTGCACATTACTTAAAAAATTGCACTTATCAGGTTTTTATTTTATAAAAATAATCAGTGTTCACTGTATAAATTTTGGAACATATGGAAAATTATAAGGGAGAAAATAAAAATCACCCATAATATTACTTGCAGAGATAATTACTCTTAATATTTATATGTATTTCCCTCCAGTCTATATACTTTTTAAAATAAAATAGGTATATTCCTGTATATCCCTTTTCATAACCTGAATTTACACTTAATACTTACATTTTGAGTAATTAGGTATACTTCTAAAACAAGTTTATTGGCCACATAGCATTCCATTGTAGAAATTTACAATATTTTCCTAACCAATCCTCTACTGCTAGACATATCCAATGTTTCAACATCTTAAGTAACAACTCTTGTTTGTAAATGTTTGCATATATCTCTGATTATTTCCTTAAGATAAATTCCTATAATTAAAGCCTGCTGGGTCCAAGGACATACACATTTGATTTAAAGACTTTGGTGTGAATTGCGTCGTTGTTCGGTGCCGTCGAGCTGGTTCCAACTCATAGTGACCCTATGTACAACAGAACAAAACACTGCCTGGTCCTGCACCATCCTCACAATGGTTGCTATGTTTGAGCCCATCATTGCAGTCACTGTGTCAATCCATCTCGTCGAGGGTCTTCCTCTTTTTCAGTGTCCCTCTCTCTAGTTTACCAAGCATGATGTCTTTCTCCAGGGACTGGTCCTTCCTGATAACGTGTCCGAAGTACGTGAGAGGAAATCTCAGCATCCTTGCTTCTAAGGAGCATTCTGGCTGTACTTCTTCCAAAACAGACTTGTTAAGTTCTTCTGGCAGTCCATGGTATATTCAATATTCTTCATCAACACCATAATTCAAAGGCATCAATTCTTCTTTGCTCTCCCTTATTCGTTGTCCAGCTTTCACATGCATATGAGGTGACTGAAAACACCGTGGCTTGGGTCAGGTGCACCTTAGTCCTCAAAGTGACATCTTTGCTTTTGAACACTTTAAAGAGATCTTTTGCAGCAGATTTGCCCAGTGCAGTATGTCGTTTGATTTCTTGACTGCTGCTTCCATGGGAGTTGATCCAAGTAAAATGAAATCCTTGACAACTTCAATCTTTTGTCCATTTATCATGACGTTGCCTATTGGTCCACTTGTGAGAATTTTTGGTACACAGACTTTGTTACACAATGACATATCGTTCAACATAAAATAGTACAAATTTATGTTTCTACTACCAGTATGAAAGTGA